ACATGGGGTGATTTGATACAGCCTCAGAATCCAGGCTGCTTTCCCTGCTGTTACATGACTTTAGGGGAACCTGCAGGCAGCTGACAAAGGCAAGACCTCCATGGTGTGGGTGGAGAGGAACTTTGTATGACTAGATGTGGGGGAAGGGCAACTAGAAAAACAAAAATACCTTAGTTTCTATTTCTACATTTTATAATTCTATAGAAGTAAAACCCTTTTAAGCTAGGGCCACCACTATATTATTTAATCTGGTGAATGAAGAGTGAATAATAAATCATAGAAACTTGTAGCTGCTGAGGAATATGACACTGGCTGTAATTATTGCTGGTGTGATGTTATCAGGATAGGTTTTGATAGCCAGTTGAGTAACTGACCCTTGTTCTAGTCTCACAGCTCCACCTAAGACAGTGCTTGGGACAGGCTATTTTAGCTCGGGAAGGGTGATAAATGAGTTTTCGCTCAAGGTTCATGTCTTACACTGTTGTCACATTGTATGACAACATGTACCCAGTACAGATAAAGCAGTCCACAGCATGCATGTAGACTAAAGTTATCTGCACAACTGTTCCAGCCTTATGTGTAAGAGTGGTCTTCAGGAGAGGCAGTTGTACTTTCTAAAGGAAGACCTGACACAAGCCTTCATTTGACATTTTTGTCTGCAATTGTGCTTGGTGTTTTTTTTTTTTTTTTTTGAGGTGGGGGCAGTACTGGGATTTGAAATCAGGTCTTATGCTTGCTAGGGAGGCATTTCATCTGCAATTGTGGTCTCTTCCCCCATGGCACAGGAATCTGGCAATGTCTGTCTACTTTTAATATTTCTGTTTACATTTTCACTGTACTTAAAACCTCCATGTTCTCTTTAGACTTTAAATTCATTTACTCAAATAATGTTTTCCTGCAAATCTGAATTTACTTATGTTATTACAGTAGCTAGGCAGTCTCTGAACCCTTTCTACCAAAAATTCTTGCTCCATAAACACATTTTAATTCTACTGCTGGTTTAAGGTGGGAAGCCCGATGGTCAATGTACTTTAAGTAAATCTAAAATTCTGTGGCCACAGAGAAGATACAACTGAAAAGGAGCACACTATGTACAGAAAGACTGAAAGAAGCTGATGCCTTTGTTCAGGTGGGAAGACTGTCACTTTATTCCAAGGACCTTTAACTGAAAAGAAACTAGGGATCCATCTGTCATGAACTCAGTAACTGAAAATCTAGGGCCAAAGATATCTCAAGTTGAATGAGTAGTGGTAAGGGCTTTGAAATCATGTAAAGCTGGGTTCATATACTAGATCAACCCATTTAAATGATGACTGACTTCACACAAGATACAATAACCAGGTCCTAAGCCTCTTAACCAACAGTAAAATGGGAACCTACATAAAGCACCTAGGGGGTTAACAGATGGAAAATACTATCCTGACCTTTTTTTTTTACCTAGATGTCACAGGAACTCAGAAAAGTTCAAGCTGGCAGAGTGGCTCAAATAGTAGAGCATCTGCTTAGCAAGTGTGAAGTCCTGGGTTCAAATCTCAGTGCTGTCAAAAAAAAAGTTAATTTGAAGCACTCAATTTCAAGCTGAGAGCAATAGTGGAGAGTCTTCTGAAGTATTTAAAAAAAAAAAAAAAAAAAGGCCATGGCTCAGGTCTGTAATCTTAGCTCCCAAATAAGAGGCTGAGATTGGAAGATCACATTTTGAGGCCAGTCCAGGCAAAAAGTTCACAAGACTCCATCTCAACAGAAAAAAGTCGGGTGTGGTGATACATGTCTGACATCCCAGCTATAGCAGGAAGCATAAAGTAAGAGGATGGTAGTCCAGGCCAACCTGGGCAAAAAGCAAGACCCAATCTCCAAAATAACCAAAGCAAAACGGGCTGGGGGGGCGTGGCTCAAAAGGTGGAGTGCCTGCCTACCAATGGTGAAGCCTCTGAGTTCAAACCCCAGTACCACAAAATAAAAACAAATAACCAGAGCAAAACCCCAGTACCACAAAATAAAAATAAATAACCAGAGCAAAAAAGGCTGGTGCCTACCCAGCAAGGGTGAGGCCCCAAGTTCAAACCCTAACATGGCAACAAAACAAACAAACAAAAAAAAGTGCTGATTGTTAGTGTGAGGAATGGAGAAACTTGGGATATTTTATGTGAATAAACTATCAAAACTGAAGTTTTTAGGGATCAAAAGGTCAGTTTATGTTTAAGGGTTACATTTAATTACCAGATACTCTTGGCCAATCTGAAACATTCCATTTGACAACTGTCCCTTCATCTACAACTCAGAATTCCTTGTAATTACTCACCCCATCCTACCCCCAGAGAAGAATGAGTCAGTTTAGTAAATTCAGTTCCACAAAAAAGAAAGATGATAGAAGTATATCCTATTTGCTTATGGTAAGGCAAGAAAAAACATCCTTTTTTCCATGAAATCCAAACTATGATAAAGGAGACAGAAAGACATCAAGTTTGAGTGAAATGTTGACATTTATATTGAAATATGCACTAAACAGAATGAATTCTACTAGTCAAGGAAACTTTGCCAAAGCAGAGTCACAAACTCCCCGTAGGGAGGTTCAGTCAGCCAGCAGCAGTGATCCCAGAGGGGAACAACATGGGAAGCCTGGGGCCCTTCTCCAAAAAGCCTCTTTCCAAGAGACCCCTACTTACTGCTCCCACATGCAGCACACATATTCAGGAGCCTGGACACACTCCTCCTTTTCATATATTTTTAGTTTCTTCTTCACTGCAATAAATATAAAATTGGCAATGTTCATACACCACAGCACAGACAGTATTTCAGGCTTTAGCATACAACTGTAAATAATGGCTAGGTTAAAAAAATAAAAATAGAATGTTGGGACTTTTTTTAATGCAAGTTACAACTTTTAAGAAGAGGGCAAGAGCTACTCAAGATTTGATTTGTTAAATTTTTTGTCCGAAGATTCAGGTTTGGGCACATGTCCTAAATAGACAAAAGGTGGCAGCTGGAGCACGTGTCCAGAGCAAGTTACCCATAGCACAGGGGGCACAACCTGCAGTGATCACCCTTTACGGTGCGTCTTCAGCCTGTCACTTTCTAAGGAGGACCACAGACATTTTTATAGTTGCATCACTGGCTGCCATGCAGCAGGAATAGACAGATAAAAGTTATCTGCTAGCTGCCTGGTAAGTTGACCCCTTAATCACAGTAACAAACTAGGCCATATGCCATTTCTCATGGGCAGTGCATTAAATCCATCTTTTAAAGTACAGACTAAGCAGTAAGTTCTGCCACTAAAGCAAACTAGGATGTCAAGAAAGACAAACTGATTCATACTTTTTGCCTAAAGCAATGAAAAGAAATCTGGCAAGAAATGACAGTGGACTCAACAACCTGCACATTAGCAATGGGGCAGAATTTTATTTGAAAGGCTAGTAGTTCAAATACTACTGCTTGAATAGCTCTGGTAGATGTAAAATGTAGTAACATCTGAGGTGTATACACATAAGCAGAGGACTGAAGGCCAGCTCACAAAGGGATTATTTGATCCTCAGTCAAGACAGAAGCTAAAAGCGCATGCTGCAGGAGTTACCTAATGGATTTGTTTGGACCTTACTCCCACTCTCTGACACACACAGAAAGACCTGGATAGAAAACTGTCTTTTTACACACAAAAATTTTGGCTTAATTAAATTTCCTTCCTGCAGTGATACCTCAGCTAAGAAAACAATCTGTCTTGAAAACTCAAAAACCTGGGCTGCTAAAAATAAAAAGGAAATTTTAATATAGTAAACAAGTTTAGTAAATACCATGTGTACTTTCTGTTACTAATGAAAACATGATACATTCAGAAAACTATGTTTTTTGTTTTTGTTTTTTTAAAAAAAGATAAGACAAAACAAATTCCTAGAAAGAGGCTCAACAAGAATAACCCATCCCAAGTCATATCCTCCTCAGTCAGAAGTGGATCTCAGCACAAGTCAGCAAGTCCTCCAACACACAGCCCTACCATTTGCTTAGCAGGGAGAATGTAAAGCACAAACCTCAGTCACTGAGTGTGAGCACTGAGCAGAATCACTACAGAGCACATTTTGATGGGGTACTTCAGCACCCATCCTGGTCCAGTTTGTACACATTCTACAAGCATACTGGACAATAAACAATCTAGCGGTCCATTATTCTTTTAAATAGCAGTTCATGTAGCTCAAGTAAACTATTAAGATTATAAAGAGCTCTCTTGAAAGAAATCCTCAGATGAAGACACATTAATAAGAAACCTTAAAAGTTAAATGAACCTAGTTCTTTTTTACTAAAATGGTAAGAAAAAGGTAGACTGTCTATCCTGAGAGCAGCTTTACTGTTTCACCATGGAAAAAGCCAAACTTTTTAACTGACAGAATTTAAAAACTAAACCAATTTAAAAAATTGGGCTGGGGTGTAGCTCAGTTGTAGAGCACTTACTTAGTATATGCTAAGCCCTGGGTTTGATCCCCAGCACTCAAAACAAAAATAAGAATAATAAAATATACACCTTAAGATACTATAAAACTTGAAATAATGTCAGGCATTATGAAATGGGAAACAACGTTCTAATTTTTTTTTTCCAGAAAAGGAAACTTTAACAGGTTTTACTGGAAAAACAAATCAGAACTCTGAATATGGATAATACTACACAGACTCTACAGCACAGACCACCACACAAGAATGAGTTATACATCAGTAATATCATCATGAGAGTAACTGGCTGGGGACTTATACTTCCAACAAAAGAGGTCCTAGGTAAAAAATGTGTTAAAAGTTTATAATGTAAGAACCAGAAGAAAAAAAAGAGAAAGAGAAATTGCAGGGGGATGAGAGGGAGAAGAGGAAAGGGGAAGGCTGCATGCATGGGCCTATCATAGACATGATATTCAGCAGCATGCAGCATAAAAACAATACCCTCCAAGAGTTCCCCCAAGGAGACAAAACCTGTTTCTCACTGCTACACATGGGAAAGATTAAGAGTGGAACAAATTCACTTTAACTATAGCATCTCCTATATTGGAGAAACAAGCATGTTTAATCTGATGCTATATGTTAAGAAAATACTGAGGGTACATGAGGAAAACAAATTAATAACAAAAGACTAAGTTATGGATTTAAAAACTGGGGGGAGGGGGGAGACATTTGTTTTAAAGCCGAGTAGGTGTGCATTCTGACAATTATTACAAGACATAATCCACAGAAAAAAAAGGCCAAAAAAAGAATGTTCATATTATTTAGTACTTAGGCTTGATGTTGTCCTAGGAAAAGGAGTGATAATTTAATGAACGTGTCATACATACAACTGAAAGTCCCCTTCTGGTTTCAAATAAATTTAAACACTCTTCCTTGGCTAATTTTTCTCCTGTGTTAAACAAACCTATATACAGGACCAGTTTAAATCCTTCCTCCCCTTCAAACACTAGATATGAACATCCGGGAACATTCTACAATGCAAAGTGCCTTAAGAAAGAGGATTCTGTAGTGCCAGTGATATAACTGATCTGAGGAAGCTGGATACTATTAACACTGACAGGAGCCAGTCAGGCAATGGTGGTTTGTTTCTCCTCGGGTGTTTCCTCCAACAACTGCATGATCAGTTCATGGAGGGGTTTGCAGATCTTTGCATATCCCCCTCCTGTGAGATGCAGAAAATCAAACATGTCATGGCAGGAGATGGCACCGTCCGAGTGCACGAAGCCCCCATCTGTATCCAGGAGCTGCACATTGGCAAGCTTCGGCAGGGAAACCTTGAGAAGCTGGTTCACCTTGGCATTCTTTTGTCTCAAGGGGTTGGGCTTCTCACCGCGAGGTAACAGACCCTGGGGCAGAGCAGAGAAGAACATTAAATGAGAACATTCACTTGTTTTTCTCTATTTGTGATTTTAGATATTCCTGGAATACCTGCTCCACTTAGCATTGTTTTAACCTTTGAGATCTCTAACACTGGACTAGATTAGTTTTAACAAAGCTGACCGGTCCTTCTCAGTTTCTTTATGTGTTCCTCCTCCTCCTATCCCCTTCAGGAAACTTACTTTGGCTCAGTACTCTTCCTAATCTAAAACAATGTATCCTAAATTCATTCTTCACTTATATGTTAATGATCTAATATAATTTTCAGATAAATCAGATGCCTGTTCTCCTACTAAAGAGAACTGCCCATTATTATACCCAAGAGCAAGGTTTTATCATTCAAAGGAGAAGTATCTTTATAGATAACCGATCCCATTATAGAAATATTTTCAGATACCCCTAACCTTTTAGTTGGTCGATACCTAGTGATGTCACACATACAAGTTACTGTTATTCAGGCAAAAGTTTTGTCATCAGTTTCTACTACAGGAGAAAGATAAGAGGTAAGAGGTTTTTACTTCATGAAAATAGATTTTCTGTGGGTATTTTACAAAAAAAATTAAAGAGAGCTACAGAGAATTATCTACTACCCTGATCCGCTGCCTTCTATTCTTTTAAGTTCCTCAGATGGTGTTAAGCTTTCCAACAGTGAAGTCAATTCCAAACTCTAGCTTGCAATACCATTAAAAGTATAAGGCTCTGTACCTAACAGTTAACAGAGAAACAGTCCTCAATGTTGACATATCAAAGTCTGAGATATAATGAGCAACCAGGAAAGATGACCAGTGAACAATGTACACTTTGTTCTGATTTTCAGAGAATACCACAGCAATCAAAGTCCTGAATGATTAAGCTACAATAACAGCAACCTATCTACTGGGATTCTCAGGCAAGGATGAGAAAGATAGTTCATGTATTTGCACAGCATTTCCCTTAACGTATTAAGGATCTGCTGTGTGCTTTTTTTCTCCTTTGATTTTTAATGTTAAAAGAAACAAAACAAATTACATTCCTAAACCATTCACCTAACAACTGTCTTATTTCAGTTTTCTTTCAGCCCTTTTCCAACTACATATATGGTTAATACTTTTCCTTATATGTCTGGAGACCAATACATTCTTTAAAGATGTCAACCATGTGCTCCTCTTACTCCTATGAGCGTACACTATAACAATATAGTAATTCTCTTTTCACATTGCTGTCACTATCCACTAGACTGTGGGTTCCTTGAGAGGGATTACATCATTCATTTTTATATTCTCAGGACACACGATAGTGCCTTCTACAGTAATCCTCGCCACCTTCTTAACACCATCTCATTAAAAGACATAGTTTCAAAGTGATCTAAGAATACCTACAACTAGTCTTTTACATTGAAAAAGACAGGTATTCATGTGTGAGAGCTTGTTTGGAAGTTCTAGCAGGGGATTGCAGCTACTCATGTACCCTAGATTGAAAAACTGACCTACTATCTGGGCTGGTTGTCCTCTTTGACTAAGTACACAGCTTCAGGAGCACGTGGAGCAAGGAAGGGACAACCGCCTAGCCAACCAGATCAATCAAATACACCCTGACCACCAATGGGGTGAAAGATGTCGCAGCCAGACTGCCCTCATCTAGTATTCATCTTTGAGACCACAAAGAATTATTGCTTTAATTTTCAAAAAGCTAGTACTTTCTGTTCAAGTTAGTAATTTTTTTTCTTTCTTTTTTTGGCAGGACTGGGGTTTGAACTCAAGGCTTTGCGCTTGCAAAGCAGGGGCTTTACCCCTTGAGCCACGCCTCCAGTCCATTTTGCTCTGATTTTGTTTTGGTTTGGTTTTTGGTAGTATGGGGTTTGAACTCAGGGCCTCACACTTGCTAAGCAGGCACCCTACCACTTGAACCACTCCACCAGCCTGCTCTGGTTATTTTGGAGGTGGGGTCTTGCAAACTATTTCCCTGAGCTGGTGTCAAACCACTATCCTCCTAATCTCAGCCTCACAAATTACTAGGGTTACAAATATAAACCAATGGCACCAAGTTCAAGTAAGATTTTTGAAGTGTCCCTTTTTCTACTGACGTATGGGGGATTCAGACAATTTAGAGATTCAAATAAATATACCATCTTTAATGAATCAACAGTGGAACAGAACACCACATCTATCAGGCCAACAGCAGTATCATAGACTTCCACCCAAAGATTCCTCTGACAGTGAAGTCTGCACCCACCCAAACACTACTTACCAATACGATGATTTTGGCCTGTGGCTGCCTTGTGTTGATAAGCTGTACAATGGCCTCGATCCCACCTGCCACCTCTTCTGCTGTATTTTCATGGTTGTTTGTTCCTACCCAGACAACAATGACCTACAATGGAGGAAGAAAAAAGAGGGAGAAGTATTTATAAGGACTATTCAGGAACAAAAGAATGTCTAACACCTAAAGGAAAATGTTATTTCAAAAATCAGAGAAAGATGAACTTCTCAGATGGCGTTGGCTGATTTCAACTTGGCAGCTACATTACACACTAATTTATGCTTCATATCATGTATCAGTATAAATTCCAAGTAGATTAATATTAAAGAGGCAAAATTACATCAGAAGGAAACAGGAAAAAATTCTATCACAGAGTTGGAAACTAAGCTCTTAAAATGCAACAAAAAATATGTTTTAGTCTATTCTTAGGAAATGACAATATAGTTTACCTGAAAGAGGCATGAAGTGAAGCAAAGCAACAGTTAATAGTGCTTTAAAGAAGCCATCTTAAACAATTTACGAATTTAATTTGAAGTCCCAAGATTAATGATATCTTTTAAAAAACTAAGTTTCATTTCACCATAGGTTTATTTTTATGTTTTTGGCCATACTGGGGCTTGAACTGGGCAGGGCCTCATGTTCACTAGACAAGCCCCCTACACCCGTACCCCCCTCACCTTAGGTTTAATGTTCTCCAGTTCTCCATTCTTTAGTCTCCATAAAACGTGTCTTGTTGTATCTCCCCCAATTCCAAAATTAAGTGCATGAAGTGGGGAAAAAAGCTCTCGCCATATCTAAAGAGAAAAACTTGACTTAGTTAAGCTAAAAGCAGTGGGAAATGAAGCCCTTCCATTGAAAAGTGTTGTGAGACATCAAGGATGACCATTCTCACTTTCTCTACTGCAACTCCACACTGAAAATGACGTGCCATCCACTTTTTAAAGGGCTTTGAGGATGGCACTATGTCACTCGGTCCTTTTTTTTTTTTTTTCTTTTTCTTTTTTTTGCAGTACTAGGGCTTAAACTCAGGGCCTACACCTTGGAGCCACTCCACCAGCCTTCTTTTGTGATGAGTAGCTAAGATTGCAAGCATGAGCCACAGAGCCCAGCTTTCAGTCTAATGCAGTACTGGGTCTCAGCTCAAGAACTGAGTCAACTCAATCTGATGCCCCAAAGAGATACTAACATTTTAAATTAGGTTGTCAACTCAATAAACCATCCTACCTATTAATTCTACTGTTTAAAAAATAATAGGGAGGAGAAACATGAGATGATGAAATTTAAGATTGCAGAAGCCAAAAAGAAATAAAGCTATCATTTCTTTCAAATTTCCCTTGAAAGAATGTCTAACCTAAAAAGATTTGGAACACCTCACTACAAAACTATATAAAGTAAGACACTGCAAATAACAAGAATCATGACAAGGACAAATATGAATAAACAAGCACAAACAATGGAAGACCACAAATAGAATAAATATAAATAAACAAACATAACATCAAGCTTCTTGAAAGCCAGAGCAAAAAAAAAAGGACATTTAATTACAACTAACACTAACATTTTTCTTTGTTTCATCATACTTGGTAGCACAAAAAAATCCCATCAGGTAGGTCTGATTTTCCTTATATCTGAACTATAGCTTCTCTGTGAGTCATGACAAAGTTTAAAGGGTCAGCTCAGAATGAGCGTTCTTTAGTAATTAAAGGACATACTCTAGTAGCCAAAACCACCCTTACCCTCTCCTCCCCCTTTACCTCGTACTGCTGCATTAACTGTACCATGGAGTCTCCCACGAAGAGTACATCAGGCTCTTTGTCTTTACAGTCGAGGACAAATCTGTTGTGCTGATGTGAAGAAGAAAGAAAACTTAGAGACTGGTATTTTTTTCCTATGATATTTCTTGGCTTAGAAAGAACTGCTTGTCCAACCAGACACTGTTTCTTTTTGGGCGGGGGGTGTGCATGCTTAGCATGTTCGAGGTCCCCACCCATCCCCAGCACCACACGTACATACACGCATACCTAAGGCTTATTCCTCCCTTTCTGTAAATAGAAATGTCTTCTTACTCTGGCATACTAATCATTCTACTATGTTTAAGAAAACCAGAATTCTACTGAAACCAGAATAGAAAAATACATTTCATATGCTTTTGTAAGTTTTCCTCAAACTTTTGTTAGGTCATTTTCCAGGTTTACTATATCTCTTCTCTGTGTGTGTTTGCTAAATCATTTGAAAGTAAGTTGCAGACATGATTTTTTACCCCTTTAAGCATGCATCTAAAAATATTATTCTCTGAAACCCTAAAGTATCACCACACTAAGAAACTGAACAATATCCTATTAACATCTAACATTTAATCTACAATCTTTCCAGGCGCTTTAAGAGTTAAATTGTATCTGTTTTTTGAACTAGGCTTCAATGAAGATCCATGTATTTTGTCTGGTTTTTTTTTTCTTTTTGAGAAAGGTCTCACTAAGTAGTTTAGGCTAACCTTGAATTCACTACATTGCCCAGGGTGGCCGTGAAGTTGCAGTCTCCTGCCTCAGTCTTCCAATTCTGGGATTACTGGCACGGATCACCACACCTAGCTTTTGGATGTTTTCAATGTGGACTTTGTTAACTTTCAAATGTAATATATTAGTAAACCAGAACTCAATCCTTTTTAGTCTAATTCAAGTTTATAAGCAGTGTTTATGACCTAGTGCTGGAATGCTTCTGTTTTTCCTTCTTTTTTATTGTTGTTTTTACATGTAGCACTGGGGAGCATGTGTAGTATGGTCCTGGTGAAATGGGCTCCCCACCCCCATCCTTTGTACGTACAAGGGTTGGAACTCAGGGCTGTGTGCTTGCTAGGCAGGTGCTCTACTGCTTGAGCCATGCCTCCAGTCCTGCTTCTCATAATTTTAAATACCCCTTTAATCATTAAGTTGCCAGGCTGGCTTTGAACTCTTGGTCCTCCTGCTTTGGGCTCCCCAGCAGGGACTACTGGAGCAGCCACAGTACCCAGCTAAAATGCTTTTTAAAATGAACTTTACTGTAATCCTAGCTACACTTGGGAGGTGTAGATAGGAGGATGAAAGTTGAAGGCCAGGGCAGGCAAAAAAGTGAGACCGTATCTCAAAAAACAAGCTTAGTGTGGTAGTATATGCCTGCAATTTCAACTACTCACAAGGCAGAGGTAGGAGGATCTTGGTCCAAGACTGGCAAAAGTGCAAAATCCCATCTAAAAAATAAACTAGAACAAAAAGGTCTGGGAACATTGAATTAATGCATCCACCAACTCATTATTTTATTTTAATTTAGTTTTTCTTCCTAGTGATGGATTTAATAGTCGTCTATTTTTGTCAGTCTCCAATTCACTGTAATGAAAAAATTTACTTGTATTTTTCATATGATAAATATATCAATATGTAACTATTACAAGGTATTTTAAAAATACAACCACAATAGTAATTTTACTCCAAAAAAAATTAACAGTACTTCTTAATCAACAAATAACCAAGCCATGGTTTGGTCCAAATTCAACATCTCAATTTTTATGTTTTTTTTTTTTTTTAATAAAATAAGATATAAAAATTTGTTTCTTAAGTTCCTTCTAATCTACATATTCCTCCTTCCTCTGATACTATCACCCAAATTTAATTACTCATTTATTTTTGTTGTGAGTCAGGGTCTGACTCACCATTTTTCTGCCTCAGCTTTCTAAGTGGAGGTCAAATTCACTTTTTAAAAAGTACAATTATTAGACCTATATCATCTCTGATAAATTTTGCTGATTACATTCTTGTAGTGGTGGCAAAAATGTTCATCTGCCTCATGTATTTCCTGAAAAGTGGTAATTTAGTCTAGATTCTGGATGGATTTTTTTTTCTCTTTTGAGATTGGGGTGGGGGGCAGGGCCTGACCTTAAACTCACAATCCTCCTGCCTCTGCCTTCTAAATGCTAGGATTACAGATGTGTCACTTCCCACTCAGAGTTGGTATTTTGAGAACACAATCGGCACTCCATACTCTTGGGTTCTCTGTCCGAGGATTGGGTTCTCTGTCCGAGGATTCAACCAACCAAGAACAAAAATATTTGAGACAAAATTGTGTCTATGGAATATGTAAAGACTTATTTTGTCTTTAACCTAAATAATACAGTATGACTATTTGCATATAGCATTTACATTGTATTAGATATCAGAAGTAATCTAGAATGATTTAAAGTATATAGGAGAAATTTTATAGGTTATATGCAAATACTACACTATGGTAAGTAAGGAACTTACACCCATGTATTTTAGTACTGGGAAGGGATCCTGAAACCAATCTCCCATGGCTATGAAAGGACACTGTACTTTACAGGTACTACTGAGGATCATCTCAATACTTGCTTTAGTCATGATTGTGTTACATTTTTTCTTTTTAAAAAAAAAAATGTTTGACTTCAACTTTAGGCCTGTAGAAGAGCTACAAAAATGCATTTCCATATGCCATGCATTCTCTCAGCTTCTGCAGTGTTAGTATCCTACATAAATGCAGCACATTTATCAAAACTAATAAATTAACATTGGTAGATACTATCAACTAAACTAGTTTATTCAGCTCCTACCAAGTTTCCCACTTTTTCTGTTCCTGGAATCTGTTCAGGAGACTATGCTGCATTTAATCCTCATAACTCCTTAGTCTCTTCCAACCTAGGACAGTGTTCTGATCTTTCTTGGTTTTTCGCAACCTGGACACTTTTGACACTAGTCATTAAGTGTTTTACAGAACCTCCTTCAATTTGGATCTGGCCAATATTTTCTAGTGATAGACTTAGGTTACAGATTTTTTTTTTTTTCCTTGAACACTACCAGGGAGATGGTATGTCCTTGTTGTTGCAGAGGGTACATGATATCAACCTGACTTATTACTGGTGACTATAGCACTAAGCACCAGGCTCTGAACTTATTTTTCCTTTTCGTATTTTATTTGCTAGAAGCGAGACAATAATCCCAGCCTACACTAAAGGTAAGAGGGAATAAGCACCACCAGCTGGTAAACGGTATGTCAAAAAAAATATGTGGTCCTATGTTAAACCATCAAAGTAATTTTGGGAGAGACACTTTGGGGGAGGCGAACACTATTCAGTTTCTAGTACTCATCAATGGATCTCACCTATGCCTATTATTACTGTGGTAGTCTCAAGATAATTTTTCTTTTCTCTCCTTCTTTCTACATTAATTAAAATCCTTCTGTAAGGAAAACTCAGCCCTTTTCTCTCTCTCTCTGACAGAAAGGATTCATAAACACCATTGGATTAGGAACCATTATCACCATTTATTATGTTGCTCAAATTTTCCTCCTTCACCTTGGTTGCTGTGTTAGATTGGCTCAAAAGGATAATTAATATAATCAATGAGATTATTTGACGGTGTTGAGATTTGAACTCAGGGCCATATGCTTGCTAGATGGGCTCTCTACCACTTAAGCCACTCTCCAGGCTTTTCTTTTTTTCTCTGTGCTGAGTGGTATTTTCAAGGTATGTCTCACAAACCATTTGCCCAGGTTGGCCTTGAACCTCTATCCTCATGATCTCTGCTTCCTGAGTAGCTACAATTACAGGTGTGAGCCACCAGTGCTGGGCTGGGTCTTGCATCAAACTAGTTCTAGCCTCAAACCTATGCCTCTCCTGTAGCTGGGATTACAGATCTCCATCAGCATACCCAGCTTATTTGTTCAGATGGGATTTTTGCTAACTTTTGCCTGGGCTGGCCTGAAATGGTGATCCTTCCAACCTCCACTTCCTTTGTAGCCTTGCAGATATGAACCACTGTGCAGGGATCATGATTTTCTGTTTCTGAAAGTCACACTAAGTTAAAAATGTTCTGTAATACAACTTCCATTTAGCAAAAGATACTACAGAAATTAAATCATTGTATTCTCTCAAAGGGAAGGAAAAAACAGTTCTTCATAGGAGTCTTTTTTCTTTTTAGTGTTGTGTCAATGATCACAAAAATTCCTGGCTTCTCTTCATTATGGACTTGCATGGCTGAATGTTATTTTCTTTCTTTTGTTTTTTTTTTTTGATAGGACTGGGTTTTAACTCAGGGCTTTGCACTTGCAAAGCAGGCACTCTGTCACTTGAGTCACTTTCCAGTCCTTTTTGCTCCAATTATTTTGGAGATGGGGGTCTCAAAAACTATTTGCCTGGGCTGGACTCAAACCCTGATCCTTCTAATCTCAACCTCCCTAATAGCTAGGATTATAGGCATGAGTTACTGGTGCCCAGCTGAAAGTATTTAATACAATTTTTTTTTTTTTTTGAGATAGGGCTGTGCTATGTAGGTCAGACTGGCCTCAAATTCTCAATCCTTCTGTCTTAGTCTCCCGAGTGCTGGGATTATATGTGTGAACCACCATACCTGGCTTTCTTGATGCTGTTTTTTTGTTTTGGAGGTACTGAGAATTGAACTCAGGGCTTCTTGAGCTATGCCCCTAGTCCTTTTGATTTTAGATTGCTTTCAAATTGGGTCTCATGCTTTTATGTCCACCTCCCAAGGATCTGGGATCACAGATGAGCAGCACTACCCCTAGATTGTTCTTTTTTTATATTAGCATATTACTGACATTTACATAAGGGCTTACAATATATCTTAATTAGATTCATCCCCTCCATCGTTCTCCCCTATCTCCTCTCCCCTTCTTAAAACAGTCTCAGCAGGTTTCATTGTTCTATTTTCATATGTAAATACAAAATACTTCCACCATATTCATTTTCCCTCATCCTTTCTTTATGCCCCCCCCCCCACTGGTATTCACGCCCTCACACACAGTTTGCTTCTGAGATCGGGTCTCACTAACTTTTTTGCCTCAGCTGGCCTTTGAACTACAATCCTCCTATCTCCGCCTCCCGAGTAGCTGGGATCACAGGTGTGCACCACTATGCCCAGTGCTCTTAATACTTTTAAAAGGATATAACTAAACTAGTAACAATAACCAAGCAGCTAATCCATGTGAGAATAATTTAAAAAACATACCACCACTCAAATGAACTGATCAATAATCTTTGCAAAATTATCATCATACAGATTATAATACCTGTTTTTTAGATACTGCCTCTGTTTTTAGAGGTAATATGGTTGTAAACAAATGAAGGTAATATAGTTAATAGTTAAATGATGACAGTTCACTAAAAGGAAGATAAGACTTTCTTTTTCAGTGCTAGGGATCAAATCCAGGGCCTTGTACATGGAAGCTAAGAATGCTGAAAAAGAAAAGTGCTAGAAAAAAATTGGAACACATCAAGACAAAAAGGAAGTAAAACCAGCTTGGAAGAATTCTCACTTGTTAAACCTGGGGCAACTGGCTTCAAAATAATAATAGCAATAAATTATAACTCACTTAGTGGAATAAGAACCCATGTGTCCATATTACAATAAGAAGGGCTCTGGTGGCTCATGTCTATAATTCTAGCTACTCAGAGGCAGAGATCAGAGGATTGGGGTTTGAGGCCAGCCCAGGCAAAAATAGTTCTCAAGAACCTATCCTTCCCCACCCCCACCAAAAAAAAAAAAAAATCCCAAAAAAGGGCTGGTGGAGTGGCTCAAGGTGTAGGTCCTGAGTTCAAACTCCAACACCATGAAAAAAACAAAAACAAAACTTGATTATGGCCAATAGCACCTAACCAAATGATTAAAGTTACTATCAATGAGACAAACCAACACCACTTGTTTTCTACATGGTGCACTAAGGACTCATCACTTCACTGACCTACCTGCCAAAAGTGCAAAATCTGAATCTTGACTATGAGAAGGACAAACCCATATTGAAGGACAGTCTATAAAATAAATGGCCTGCACTCTGCCAAACTGTCAATGCATGAAAAACAAAGGTTCAGAAATGATTCAGATTAAAAGAGAGAGGCAGGACCTCAAAGCATGATGGTGCACGCACTCAGGAGGTAGAGGAAGGGGACTGAGAATTTGAGACCAGCCTGGGCTAAAACAACCTTACTTAAAAAAACAAAATGAAAACCCAACACTGCAAGGACATCATAATCCTGATTATCAAAGGACCTGCCAGATGCCAGTGGCTCCCATCTGTAATCCTAGCAACTTGGGAGGCTGAGATAGGGAGGATTGTGGTTCAAGACCAGCCTGGTCAAATAGTTCGAGATCCCATCTCCAAAGAATAACCAGAGCAAAATGGATGTGGAGGTGTGGCTTTACAAGTGTGAATCTTGAGTTGAAACCCCTGTCTCATAAAAAACCCTAAAAACTGAAGAGACTCATCCCATGGTAATATATATTAACATGCGCCTCATTTTACCTGAGACATCCATCTGTCATCTCCTTGAATATCTTCTGCTGCATGTGGAATAGCTGCTGGATTTGAGTCTCCTTGGCTCATTCTACACCTGAGGAAAAATGTCTATGTCATATTTCACTTATTAATAAGAATGTATGTTACCACTCACTTAAATATTACATGTTAGGTTCGAAAAACAACAATTTGTTCCATTATGGGTTTTTCCCAGAAACTAAACTGCGGTTTATTTTCAAGAGAGATGAATTCTAGAACACAACTGCTTAAGTACCAAAAATATAGTATTGCTACACTTCCAGGCAAGTTTGAGTATCATTTAGGAACAGTGCATCACATTTAAAAGGAAATCTGCTCCACTGCTTCTCAGTCTTCTGGCTAAGATGAAGCATAAAACCTCTGTTCCAAGTATCTACTTTATAACCATGATTAGGTTTTCATGATATGTTATGGCACATAACGAATACAGGAGTTAGACACTTATAGTACAAGGAAATCTATGTGACAGCCTTTTACACTGCTAGAGTTACATGCTAAAGAATTACTACAGCAATGATTAGAATCAACTAACTACTAAACATCACACAAATAACCATAGTATAGATTGTGACAAAACGAGTCACAGGCTTTGGAACTAGTTTTTAACAAATGTTTACTATGTATTTCTGTTTTTTAACAGGCCACTAAAAAAATTTTGGTGATTATCAAATATGACATCTGATGAGAGAGAAGGAATAAGTACAATTCAGAAAAATTAGAAATGCTAAAATAGAAAGACAAATGGAAAACAGGACTATTTTCAACCAATTCTGTAGAACACATACTCTAAGCATCAGATTTCAAATGCCAAAGACAACAAAAATGAAAAAACCTATAGTTTTGTGGCCTATGGAAAAGGAGGCCATCCTTTCTATATAAGCAATCTTTTTCTTTTCCTTGCCATCTTCACAGCTTGACTTTCTCTAAAAGACTGACTTAAGCTGGGCACCAATGTCTCATGATTGTAATCCTAGCTATTTGGGAAGCTTGTATCAGGAGGTTAGCTGTTCAAAGCTAGCCCTGGGCAAATACTTCACAAGACCCTATCTCAAAAATATCCAACACAAAAAAGGGCTGACAGAGTGACTCAAGGGGCTTGCCTAGCAAGTGTGAGGCCCTGAGTTCAAACCCCAGTACCACCATCACCAAAAACAAAAAAGCAAAAAACTGAGGTATAGTCATTTTACACATGTACAATAAACAAAACACACCAGAGATTGCCAATGTAGTAGGTCTTACTCCTTTCCCAACACCCTCAGTTCTCTCTTTCCTTCTTGCAGTGCTAGGGATCAAAGCCCGGGCCTTAAGAACACGAACCAAATGCTCTACCACTGAGTTACACCTCTAGCAAAGGGTAGTCGTTTTTCAGAATCCAAAAGTACAGACACAAAAACAGACATGAAGACCACTGGAACAGAACAGAAGACTAGATATGAACCCGCACAGCTACACCCGCCTGACTTTTGACAAAGTTGCTCAAAATATGCAATGGAAAAAAGTCAGCCTTTTCTACAAATGTTGCTGGGAAAATTGGATATCTGCATGCAGAAAACTGAAACAAGATCCATGTCTCTAACCCTGTACAATTATCAATTCAAAGTGGATTAAGGACCTTAATATAAGGTCTGAAACTTTGAAACAACTATAGGAAATAGTAAGAAATACACTGGAACATACAGGCATAGGCAATGACTTCCTAAATAGAACTGTAATGGCTCAGCAAATAAGAGAAAGGACGGACAAATGGGACTGCATTAAACTAAAAAACTTCTGCACAGCAAAAGAACAGTCACTAGACTTAAGAGGCTGCCCACAGAATGGGAGAAAATCTTTGCCAGCTATTCATCTGGTAAGGGACTAATAAACAGAATCTACAGGGAGCTCAAAAAACTAAAATCTCAAAGAATCAACAACCCAGTAAGAAATGGGCACATCACACAACTATAAGCAACTTATCTTTGACAAAGGAGCTAAAAATATACGATGGAGAAATAGCAGCCTCTTCAACAAAAACTGCTGGGAAAACTGGTTAGCAGTCTGCAAAAAACTGAAACTAGATCCATGTATATCACCCTATACCAAGATTAACTCAAAATGGATCAAGGATCTTAATATCAGACCACAAACTCTTAAGTTGATACAGGAAAGAGTAGGAAATACTCTGGAGTTAGTAGGTATAGGTAAGAACTTTCTCAATGAAACCCCAGCAGCACAGCAACTAAGAGATAGCATAGATAAATGGGACCTCATAAACTAAAAAGCTTCTGTTCATCAAAGAAATGGTCTCTAAACTGAAGAGAACACCACAGAGTGGGAGAAAATATTTGCCAACTATACATCAGACAAAGGACTGATAACCAGAATATACAGGGAACTTAAAAAACTAAATTCTCCCAAAACTAATGAACCAATAAAGAAATGGGCACGTGAACTAAACAGAACTTTCTCAAAAGAAGAAATTCAAATGGCCAGAAAACACATGAAAAAATGCTCACCATCTCTAGCAATAAAGGAAATGCAAATTAAAACCACGCTAAGATTCCACCTCACCCTGTTAGAATAGCCATCATCAGCAACACCACCAACAACAGGTGTTGGCGAGGATGCGGGGAAAAAGGAACCCTCTTACACTGTTGGTGGGAATGTAAACTAGTACAACCACTCTGGAAAAAAAATTGGAGGCTACTTAAAAAGCTAGACATTGATCTACCATATGATCCAGCAATACCACTCTTGGGGATATACCCAAAAGACTGTTACTCCAGAGGCACCTGCACATCCATGTTTATTGCAGCACTATTCACAATAGCCAAGTTATGGAAACAGCCAAGATGCCCTACCACTGACGAATGGATTAAGAAAATGTGGTATCTATACACAATGGAATTTTATGCAGCCATGAAGAAGAACGAAATGTTATCATTCGCTGGTAAATGGATGGAATTGGAGAACATCATTCTGAGTGAGGTTAGCCTGGCTCAAAAAACCAAAAATCGTATGTTCTCCCTCATATGTGGACATTAGATCAAGGGCAAACACAACAAGGGGATTGGACTATGAGCACATGATAAAAGCGAGAGCACACAAGGGAGGGGTGAGGATAGGTAAGACACCTAAAAAACTAGCTAGCATTTGTTGCCCTTAACGCAGAGAAACTAAAGCAGATACCTTAAAGCAACTGAGGCCAATAGGAAAAGGGGAACAGGTACTAGAGAAAAGGTTAGATCAAAAAGAATTAACCTAGAAGGTAACACCCACGCACAGGAAATCAATGTGAGTCAATGCCCTGTATCCTTACCTCAACCAGCAAAAACCCTTGTTCCTTCCTATTATAGCTTATACTCTCTCTACAACAAAATTAGAAATAAGGGCAAAATAGTTTCTGCTGGGTATTGGGGGGGGAGAGGGAGGGGGCGGAGTGGGTGGTAAGGGAGGGGGTGGGGGCAGGGGGGAGAAATGAACCAAGCCTTGTATGCACATATGAATAATAAAAGAAAAATGAAAAAAAAAAAAATGCACTTATCTTAGGTACAAAAAAAAAAAGAAATGGGCACATGAATTCAATAGGCAATTCTCAAAAGGGGTCCAAATGGCTAATAAATATATGAAGAAGGGCTCAACTTCCCTGGCTATAAAAGAAATGCAAATAAAACTACACTAAGATTTCATCTCACTTGAGTTAGAATGACTATCATCAACCATATGAACAACAAATCTGATATATCCGAAGGAATACAACAGAGACACCTGCACAATGATGCTTACTGCAGCACTGTTCAGAACAGCCAAGCTATAGAAACAACCCAGATGCCCAATTACTGATGAATAGATTAAGAAAATGTGGCATATATATATACACACACACACACACACACAAACACATATATATATAAAAAATGCAGTTTTTTTCAGCCATAAGGAAGAATGAAACCACATGGTTTGAAGGTAAATGGATGCAACTGGAGGACATTATAGTAAGTGAAGCCAGATTCAGAAAGTCAAAGACCGCATGTTTTCTCTCATATGTGGAAGATAAATCCAAAAGATAAGCATATACACAAAAACAAACATTATATACAAACTTATATGTAAAATGTATTTGCAACAGTGGAACTACTCTATAGAACTTGGGGGAGGAGGGAAAGGAAAACAGAATGACAGAGAAGCAACAATATTGAAATAAATACACTGCATCTGTGCAGGTAAAGGATATATATATGTAACGAAAGCTGTTGAATAATGGGAGTGGGAGGGAATGGGTAAGGGAGAGTAATGGAAGGGGTTGAACTGACCAAAGTAAAATATACTCACAGCAGGGATACTTCAATAAACTCCTTTGGATATTGACTTTGCAATCAATGAAAGACAGGACTGTAAAATAGGTACAATATGTACTGATGGGAAGGGGAGGGTGAATGGGGGGATAAAGTGAGGGAATATGGTTGATGGCTTCATATAGATATACGAAATAGAATGATGAAACCTCTTGCAATTGCTTTAAGTGGGACAGGAAGGGGTTTGTGTACAATGTACAATGTAAGGCTATTTGGAATTGCCACAATGAATTCCCTTGTACATCCAATATATCCTAGTAAAAATGGGGCGGGGGTGGGGGGGAATCAAACAAGCAAAAAGGAAAAAAAAAAAATACCCAACACTGGAGTGACACAAATGGTAGAGGTCCTGCCTCACAAGCATGGGCTCCGAGTTTAACCCCCAGTACTGCGAAAAAAATAAATAAGAATGGGCTTGTTTATAAAAACAAGTTCAGCCCTCTCTTACTTTCTAGCCCTTCTTTCTGTTAAGGGATGGTGCAACAAGAAAGCCATGTGCTGGTCCCTCAACCTTGGACTTCCAAGCCTCCACAACTGTTAGAAATAAATTTCTTCCTTTTTATTATTATTTTTTTTTGGATGGACTGGAGTTTGAACTCAGGGTTTCATACTTGCAAAGCAGGTATTCTGCCACTTAAGCCACACCTCCAGTCCAATTTCTTCTCTTCATGAATTAAAAAAAAAAAAAAACACAAACGTACCAAGCCCTAAACACAAAAGC